TCCCCCGCCTGCCCGGCTCTGCCCTCCCCCGCCTGCCCGGACATATGGTAAGAGCCGGATGCATTATTTATCGATCAGCCCGTGTCTGTTCGTGGGGGGAGAGCGGGGGTGTACCTGCTCTTAGAAGAGCTACCAAGCTGTCGCTGCTTTTTCCCTCGACCTAAGGTAAAGAGCGAGGGGGTCTGAGATAAGGGGCTGGGGGCCCAGCACTGGACATGGCGGGCTGGGGGTGAGTTTTCTATCCAGAGGGGTCAGTTTGTGTGGGGGAGGGGGCATACACCTCTACCCTCCCCCTCCACCCGCCTGTCCCCCCCACCTGCTCTGTGGCCTAGAAAACTCCAGGCTCCCAGCCCAACGCTAATGGACTCACGTCCGCAGCCACGTCAAGGAAATTATCTGGGATGAAATATTCATGGGGCGCGGGCTGCTGAGGGGGGGCCGCCTGGCTCCTGGCCCGGGAGTGGGGAGTGAGGCTGTGCTGGGGGGGGGGGATCTGCCCCTCTGCCCCCGCCGCATGCTCTGAATTCGCTGAGCACACTAGGGATGAGGCTGCTGCTTCGGGACGGGCCTCTCCAGGGGGCGCTCTCCTCTGGCAGGCAGAGCTGACTGTCATACCCCAGTGCAGCGCTAGGGGGCGCTGTGCGACAGGGAGCGAGGTGGGGGGCTCAGTCGGGAGGCTCTCCCCTAGCAGGCAGTGCTGACTGTCATACCCCAGTGCAGCGCTAGGGGGCGCTGTGCGGCAGGGAGCGAGGTGGGGGGCTCAGTCGGGAGGCTCTCCCTTGGCAGCCAGTGATGTCATACCCCAGTGTATATTACAGGCCGGAGCGGCGTGGTGGGGGCTGCTGAGGGGAGGCCGCCTGGCTCCTGGCCCGGGAGTGGGGAGTGAGGCTGTGCTGGGGGGGGGTGATCTGCCCCCCTGCCCCCGCCGCATGCTCTGAATTCGCTGAGCACACTAGGGATGAGGCTGCTGCTTCGGGACGGGCCTCTCCAGGGGGCGCTCTCCTCTGGCAGGCAGAGCTGACTGTCATACCCCAGTGCAGCGCTAGGGGGCGCTGTGCGACAGGGAGCGAGGTGGGGGGCTCAGTCGGGAGGCTCTCCCCTAGCAGGCAGTGCTGACTGTCATACCCCAGTGCAGCGCTAGGGGGCGCTGTGCGACAGGGAGCGAGGTGGGGGGGCTCAGTCAGGGGGCTCTCCCCTGGAAGCCAGTGATGTCATACCCCAGTGCAGGGCTAGGGGGCGCCGTGCGGCAGGAATTGCTGCATTTCAGAGCTGTAAAAGGGAGGTCACGACCCTGAACAATTCCCTGGTCGTTTTTGTCAACCAGGGAGATTTGCAAACGTGGGTCATTGGCTGCCAGCGGACTGGGGACTATGGAACTCTCATCACCAAGGAGATCCAGACCATGGGGGCCTGGTTTCCGGGGAGAATCAAGCACAGGCGTCGCTGCTCTCCATGGCGATTGCAGAGGGCAGCTGTCGGAGATGACTGGTGGCGTCTGGTCTCCAGGGCAGTTCATGGTCTGGGCCAGCACCCACGCCTCTCCTGCGCCAGCCTCGGCACGGACAGCCAGGCACTGTTGGGTCGATGGGCTCTGTCCGCGCTGTAATTGCACTTGATGGGTGGCCAGGCGGATCCATGGCCTAATCATAGCTGGGGGGTGGGTCCAGGAAGCAGAGTGGGGCCTGCAGGTGGGAGAGGGGGTGCCGGGCTGGGATGGGGGATGGCAGTAGGTGTGTTTGCGTGTGGGGACTGTGGGCTGAGGGGGCGGGGAGTGGCTGGGTACGTGTGCGTGTTGCGCCTGAGGAGGCAGGTGTCTGGTTGGCAGTGGGAGTGTGTTTGCATGTATCAGTCCGTGTGTGTGTGTGCCGCCAGGTGACAAGCTGCTGTGCAGGGAGCTGCAGAGAGAGGCAGGCTCATTGGGTGTTGAAGGCCCCGTCTTTGAGGCCATTGGCCTGCCCCATTGAACCACCTGGGTCCTTGGTGCCCAGCACATTAAAGGGGTCAGTCCAATGAGACTGGCTACTGGATGGGGCAGAGAGATCCCAGAATGCATGCATGGGTGAGTCTGGGTGCTGCATGTTCATGCCCAGATATGGGCAATGGGGCAAGGCAGGGAGAAGCAGACAGAGCGGGGGGAGGAGTGTGAGACCCGCTCATCTCCCCCCCCCCAAAGCTGAGGCAGAGCCCGTGAACTGAACCCTGCGCTATCCATGGTGCTGAAGGCGAGCCTGGGCGCTCTCCCGGCACTCGGGGGGCGGGTTCCTGGTTTCTCTCGCCTCCCCCTGGCTGCCTGGTCGAAACCCACCCAGTGCGTGTGTTTCTAGGCCCGGGGGTTCGAACAGCAGAGACGCTCGGAGCCCGAGTCCACCCCCTCCACCCCGCCACTGGTTCCCTTCCAGGCAAAACACATTCAGAGCCAGGACTGGGAAGACCCCAAATATTGTCCCGTGGGGGGCGGGTTCCTGGTTTCTCTCGCCTCCCCCTGGCTGCCTGGTCGAAACCCACCCAGTGCGTGTGTTTCTAGGCCCGGGGGTTCGAACAGCAGAGACGCTCGGAGCCCGAGTCCACCCCCTCCACCCCGCCACTGGTTCCCTTCCAGGCAAAACACATTCAGAGCCAGGACTGGGAAGACCCCAAATATTGTCCCGTCCCCCCCGAAATGCCACTTGGCTCTGTCACTCCCTAGGGGCCAATCCCTGTACTACAGCCTGGGAGACCCACCTGCGTGCAGTCCGCAAGGTTAGTGCCAGAGACGGAGTATGGGAGGCAGGACTCCTGGGTTCTATTTCCGGCTCTGGGAGGGGCGGGGGACTAGGGGCTCACAGCAGGGGGAGGCCCCAGAGAAAAGCAGCCCATGAACCCAGCTTTTTCCGGCTTGCTGACCATCAGGAGCTGATGAAGCCCCTGGGCCAGTGCTCGCCTTGGTCCACCGGGACTGGCCCCAGCCAGATGGCACAAGCTATTCTAATTCCCCTTGGCACAGCGGCTCCCAGCCCCTACCTGCTAATCCCAGCTGGCGCTTAGCAGAGGCCAGTTCCCTGCCAGATGCACTGAGCTCAAAGTAGTGAGGATGCCTGTCCAGAGCAAGCCAGTCAGCGCCCCTGTTCCCAGGGCACAGGCCAGCTCTATGGGCATGGAGGACAGAGGATGTAGCAACCGTCACCTCTGTGCTCCCTGTAAGCTGAGCACATGGGCGGCCACCCTTGAGAGATTCAAGTGCCACCCAGGTAATTGGCAGAGTGTGTTGTAATAATAAAAGTTCTTTCTTTTCTTTTTATTAACCTGGCAGTGGTTAATTGTGTGCCCTGATTTGTATTTTAGGGGTAAGATTTCCCAAATGATCTTTCCCCTGGTTTCTTTAGCAACATTTGGGTGGTGGCAGCGGAAGTTTTATTCCCAAGATCTAGGTTTTTAAGATCTTGGGGGGAAGTTTTATACCAAAGCCTGGTAGATAAGGCTTTGGGGTACACTTGCTGGCCCCCACTTCTGCATTTATCATGCCAGAGTGGGGAAGGAGCCATGACATGGTGGCATAGCGGTGGGATTATTTTGAGAACCCAGGATTTTTAAAAAGGGCACAAGTTTTTTGAGTTGTAAGCATAATGACTAGATAGGAAGGTAACAAAATATACTCATGGAGAAACTCCATGGGCCTAGAACTTGGTTACAAAGAAAAGCCAAAACATCTTTTAAACAGTGCCAGATCTCAGACCCCATACCCAACCCTTAAAACAATAAAACCTAATGAAACTACCTAAACTTTACCCTACTTACAGAAAATGAAGAATGGTGCCTTGGAGAGAGAGAGACATGCTTGTCCCTCTCTGTAGCTGCAGAGAACTCTTCGGGAGACAAAAGGGAAAAAAAAAAGAAAAAACCCAAATTCCTTTGTCCCAGTTTGAAAAGTCCCACCTACATTCCTATTGGTCACTCCACCTGGCTAGGTGTAGTTAACCCCTTAATCCCCAGAATGCTGGCTAACCCTCATAATCATGACAGAGTGTCCACAGCACCCACAGCTCGCCCTCTCTGTAGCTGCAGAGAACTCTTCGGGAGACAAAAGGGAGAATAAAAAGAAAAAACCCAAATTCCTTTGTCCCAGTTTGAAAAGTCCCACCTACATTCCTATTGGTCACTCCACCTGGCTAGGTGTAGTTAACCCCTTAATCCCCAGAATGCTGGCTAACCCTCATAATCATGACAGAGTGTCCACAGCACCCACAGCTCGCATCATGTGTTTTTATTGGTGGTGCACATCTGCACACATCTCGGTGCACAGAACAACATTTATTCTGCACATGGATGGAAAAAATTAGAGAGAACATTGTCCCCCTTCCCCCAACCTGTGCCAAGGAGCTGTCAGCAAAGCCCTGGTAATACCACACACTTTGCTAGCCCTGCTCACTTAGGGATCCCACAGAGGGAAACTGAGGTACAGAGCAAGGGCAAGAGACAAAGCCTTGCTGTGACTCAGACTTTAACCAGGGAAACCTGGTTTAGTGTTCTTCTGCCCAAACCACTGGATACCACTCCCACCCACAGTGGCCCACAGAGAGCCCAGTCCTGACTCCCGGCTTGTGCCCACCTCTGCTCTAACCACTAGATCCCACTCCCCCCCAGTGGTCCGCATGGAGCCCAGGAGTCCTGACTCCCAGTGCCATGTGTTCCGAGGCCCCATTCCCACACCCCACACTGGAGCCTTTAACCCAGCCATGAGATGGGGGGAATCAGCCACATCCCCAGAGCTGCCTGGGGCCTCTGAAGTGCAAGCCAGGACTGTTTGCTGTGGTCAGCTCCCCAAGAGCACCCCACCGTCTGGTGCCCTCCAGCGCATGCAGCCCCCAGTAGCAACACTCTGCAAGCCAGGCCCCCACAAAGGACACTGGCCTTGCCCTTTGGAGACCTGGGCTGGGGTCAAGGGCGGCCTCTTGCATGGGGTTTGCGGAGGTCCGTCCCACACAGGCCTTTAGCCACAGCCCTGCCAGATCAGCAGACAGGACCAGGGAGTCCTGATTCCTATCCCAGCACCCCACCCACTCTAACCATTGGAACCCACTCCCCTCCCAGAGCGAGCAGCCTCCATGCCCTCAGGCGAAGGTTGGTGCACGGAACCAAACGGCTCTTTTGAGCCCCCTGTGGCCCAATGGCTGGGACCAGGACAGGTTCTGTTTTTGTAAATTAAGTGGGTCAGATTGTAGGGCCCCTCCCTGTGGCCAGGGATCTGTCTGTCTGTCTGTCCTGATCCTGCTGACTCCCCCACACACACACACATTAAGACTGGAACTTGGGCCATGCAGCACCCCAGTGATCCCTGGAGGACCCAGAAAGAGACGGGGGAGTTAATCACCATTAGAAGGGCAGATGTAACTGGAGGGAGGGGGAATTGGGTCCCAGGTCCCTGACCCCTCTGGATGCATTGGTAGGGAGACCTGACCTTCTTCTCTCTCTGGGCCAGGGATGGCCCACGCCACTACCACAGGGGGAAGGAGATCCCTGCGGTGAGAAAATTCTGCCCGCCCACCTCCAGGAAGCCTTCCTCACACACACACACACACACACCCTCCCTGCCCAGACTGCATTTCCCGCCCTGGATTGAGCTGTGCTGTGGGCTGTTAAACAGTCCCCGTGCCCCACCCCAGAGGTGGCTGCATCTCAGCACCAGGCAAGTACAATGCCCCCTGCCCGGCCACCAGGGGGAGCACCAGGCCTGTGCCTCCCACAGAAATGGTCCCTGCATTATTACGACACCCCCATTCCCAGCCGGGCTTCATGCTCCCAGACCCCGGCCCCGCCCCCTCCCTCCCTCCTCTCCCCCAACGCTG